ATATATTTTTAGCATAGGTGACATAAATACACCTATTAAACCTTTTTGCTTATTTTTTATATAGACTTATCAAGTGCTCAACCATGATCTTGTTTTCAATACACCCTTGTATTGAAATTATTCACGTACAATTCAGTCTTCCTCACTAGAGAGAAAACTTTATATATAATAAAATTATAGTAAGATCTAGGTCAATCCTTGCACCTTGCAAGCAAATTCCAGGGCCTTGCTGTTCACCTCTTTGCAATGCACACACAGCCCTGATGACATGGAACTGCCACCAATTAAGGCAGCAGAGCTGATTTAAATGTTAATGATGTAATGAGTGCTCAGTGCTCTGGTCAGTGCCTCCCACAGAACTGCTGGGCAGGGTGCCAGCACCAAAGCCCAGCCTCTGTTCAGACAAAACTGACAATTACCTTTAAAAGAAACAGATGTTTCTTTTACAGGCAGTAAAGATGGGCCCACAGGTTTTTTTGAGGTACTAATAAATTATCTAAGAGAAAAAAGTTTGGGTTATAGACTCCATGAATTAGAGCATTTTGGTCACTCTTCTGTAAAAAACAAGGGTTTCTTCTGTCCCACTGCAACAGAGACACAACAACTCTGGAGTAAGAAAGAAAAAAGGTTCTGTTTCTGAGAAGTTGTAGCCTTTGTCCACAAGATGAGGAAAAGGCTGAAGGTCCTTTAACTGTCCCATTTTCCCCTCCCAAAATACCAATGTCTATGTCATAGCTATTTTTTGTATTATAATATTGTAATGGTAATAATGATGATGATGATGATGATGATGATGATGATGATGATGATAATAATAATAATAATAATAATAATAATAATAATAATAATAATAATAATAATAGTTGAACTATTTTTTAATATCACTATTTTTGAATATCACTATTTTTGTATTATAATATTATAATGGTAATAATGATAATAATAATTATTATTATTATCATCATCATACTCATCATCATCATCATTACCATCATCATAATCATTACCATTATTACCATTATCACTGTTAATTTAAGTGATGGTTAACAGATCTGGTTTTCCCATCACACTGATACAATGTCACTGGTAACCCAGCCAGTACCAGCACTGGTCTGTTAAGTAGCATCACACCAAAAAGGAGCAAAGCATTTCCCATCTGTCCGTGGCTAAAGGCTGGCACTGTGCAATGCCTGATTGTTGTGTGTTACAGCAGCTTTTTAAATGCTAATCAAAAACTGCTCTGCACAGAGCTCTCCTGCTCTGGTGTCCAACCCCCTCCACCACCTGGCTGCTGCAGGAGAAAAAACACCATCGTCCAAAAATCCCAGTGCAGTGATTTTCCTTTTTTTCCTTTCTGGTGATTTGGTACTACCTGAATTCAGTGGGATTTGTCCTGTTAAAAGGGCACAGTATAAAAGATAAAAAATAGTGATATTCAAAAAATAGTTCATTGTATCTACTCTAAGATAAAATCTTAATTTTATCTTAGAGTAAGAAGGATCAAATAGCAGGGCATGAATGGACCTAGTAGAACAGCAATCTTAATAAAGAAAAACATGACAGTACCAATGAATTAGGCATTTTAAAACCAGAACCAGAGGCATCCCCTCTACTGAGGCACAAGTTCTTTGAATTTCTATAAATATCTGATGCAATTAAAAGAAAAAAAAAAACCTCTGGAAAAGGCAGAGGTTACTCCCTGATTAAAAAAGGAAATGAGCCACAGAGAAAAGAATGGAAATAATTTATAAGTCTTACCAGAAACCCATCAAGAACAGTAGCCAAATATCAGATAAAAGCAAGTTGTTCCATAGCTTTACAAAATGGTGTTTTAATTTATGATTTCCTTTTTGGGATAAAATTGAAAGAGCTATGAAGAGTGACAGAAAAGGAGATTCTCTTAGAAGTCAAGGCTGACCTGACTGTTCAGAGAATTGCTTTGACCACTCTAAGTTAAAATCAGAAATCCTGTTGTAGCTTGTGTCAGAGCAGTTTAAAGAACTCAAATCAACAAAACTCAGAATATTTTTTCCAGTATTTTATTACATAAAAAATTGATTGTCCATAGGAAATTTTTCACAAAGTGCAACCACATCCTGTGTAGCATCACTGACAAACTGTTTTTTTCTGAGTAGGACAGCTGGGTTAAAAATTTAACAGTAGCTCAGTAAAGTTAGTTCTAGCACTAGAACAGAGAAGCCACTATGCTGGGAGGAGAAAGGCAGCAGATGTTTCACTGTCGTGAAAACAGATGATTTTCCATGTACCTCTGTATAAAACTGGAAAAAAAGGAAATAGTAAGAGCTATAATTACCACCCTACTGGTTGAAATTAGTTCTAAAGGAGGTATCTCAATGTCCTCTATGTGGAACCAAAAAATCTGTTATTGAAAGCTTGATAAGCCTCCAAAGATTTCATCTTCTGAAGTACTCATAGAACATTCCTGGACTTATGTAACTTTTTGAAGATATTTATTTTTATTTATATATATATATATATATATATATATATATATATATATTCATGTGTGTGATAGGGTTTGGGGTTCTTAACTCATCACCAAACATTTAGTTAGTTAACACTGTCCCAGGCCAAGTGCAACTGTCTCAAAAGACTGTACCAGTTTTAAAAGGCAATTCAGGTTATTCTTAAGTAATGAACTGTGATAGCAGAGAAAGATTGGCTGGGGTAAAGCAACCAGACTGCCATAGTACACTTACTGGTATATTTCAGTATTGGTTTAGTGTAAAGCATGAAAAAGGGAGAAGAAAAATGGAAGAGTAAAATAAATTTATTTTGTGAAGGCAGCATTTTGTGTTTTATATCAAAAAGCAACTGTCAAGTCATCACACAGATGAAAACCTAAAAAAAACCAAAGAAATAACCACCAAACACTTTGAAATTTGATTAAGCTACATGGCACAAGACTCACCTGCATTTGGCATAGGAAACTGACCCAGAAACAACCAACCAATGAAAAAAAAACTCAATTGGCTGGGTCAATTTCAACAAAGCCCCTTTTAACTACAAAGGGGAAAGACCCAATCTACTGTAAATGTAGATTTATGAATGACTAAAGTATCCATACTCAAAAGTTGGGCTATAGCTATAGTGTAGCAATTGTTTCTCCAAGTCTCAAACCAAACCTGATCAAGAAGGACATAACATTAGGAGGAATACAAAACTGCACTTCCATGGATTTCTGATAAAAATCTGAACTGTCACCTCTATACCATAACTTTGAAAAGCAAAAACTCATTAATATTTCATTTTTATAGTTTCATCTGACCTCTGTTCTTCCCTTGAGATGAGAAGCAATACTGTTTACAGAAGGTGATGGTAGCTCAGAATATGTGACCAAATGATAAATTAGTTATGCACAAAAATTGGACTGCACAGCTCAACTGTCCAAGTATCACTGAGACTCTTCTCAACTCTGCTGCACATCTGCATTAGTAGTAGAATATAAAAACAGTTAATCCTGAAGAAAAAAAATTAATTTTCCACTCAAACAGGTACAGGCCTGTTTAATTAAGTGAAGCTGCAAAGGTTTCTTTAATCTAAATTCATAGAAATATAATTAAAATTAAATAAAATGAATCAACTGGAACCTTCATCAACATCATTTAGTCCTTACATACAGAAACCAAAGATGAGTTAGTCTGCCTCTTGAATACATAAGCAAATGCAGATCTATTTAAAAGGTTTTACAACTCCTCAAAACAGTAAGTTTAGTGACATCTTTTATTTTAGAACAAGGACTCAGTTACAGTTTCATACTTTTGATACTGAAGTATTCCACAAGATCAACCATTATGGTTCAATTAGGACCTTTTATCCAAGACTCTTGGATTTTAGCACCTTAAAGAAAAAATAACTCCATACCAGTATTGAATGAAGACAGTTGATACTGTGCTCATCCTCTGCAAAATGATGTGGACCACACTACTTGGTGCCTTTTGTCCCTAACTGGTAGTAAGGCAGAAGGGAAACAATTCTAAGCAAAGCATTTGACTGAATACAATCTGAGTAATAATAAAACCCCCCAATTATACAAAGTATTGGCTCCCATATGTCCAACTTCATAGTATTTGAATCAAATGGTCATTTACAATCAACCTAATCAATCAGGAATCTGTACCAAGGAAAAAACACACCAAAATCTAACCAGATCAGCATCAGTAAGTGATATGTCTGACTCAAAGTTTAACTCTGTGCTATAACTAGAGCTTTTTCAAATATTTAAGCAAACCATTAAATCAGTAAACCAAATTAACCTCAGAGCTAGAAGGTTTTTCTCCCAGCTCACTGCCTGAGTAACAGGGCACAAGGAACAGGTGCTTCCACAGGCACAGTCTTTTAGCAGCAGGAGCAACCTGAGTGCCCTGGATTCATCTTCACTTTTCACCCTGACACTGCTCGTGCAGGTGCTACAGTTCCATTCACTTCTGCAGGGCACAGAGTGTCCCTCCTGCACAGATCTGGAGTGCATGAGCAGAGTTCCTACCTAGGGCCCATCACACTCCTAAACACAGATTTCCTGGGACACAACGCGTTGAGTTTATTTTAAACAAACAGGCAGTCTAACCAAACATGTCCTAAACTTTGTCATTTCAGGCATCTTTGGCCACTATTCTTTGCTACTTTGGGCAGTACCAACTATGTGTATCAAGCCATCATCCAAGAGAATCTTTTCACACTGCACTTGGCTCTCAGCAGCTGTGAATCCATGATTTGCACACCCAAGATGGACACAGCTACTACAGATGAACATCAGCATATTCTGAGACCATAATTCTTCTTTGCCACTTAAATTAAGTTTGTGATGTTAGACACACAGATTCGTATGCTAGTTTTAAACAACAACAAAAGCATAAAAAATTACAAACTAAAGCAGTCAATTGCTGCCATGAAGCATTACCTTTCCTGTAACTAAACAAATGGTCAACAGCAAGGAGTAAACTGGTGAATTTCAACATAAATTTAAACTTCAGTAGTCTCTGCTTCCTTCCTCCCCAAAACCCAGGACTCAGTAGCAGATTCCCTTCAAGGAGCAGCAGAGCAGGATTCAGTCTGGGCACCGTGGCTGTCATAGCTCCTCTCTCTGGTTGGTTGCTCGGTTGTCCTCTTTGACGCCGTTGGATTTCTTCTCTGTGTCTTTTTTCTTCTTTGCTTTTTCAGGTTTTGTTTTGTTTTTCACTTTCTCATTTCCATCTGCTCCTTTGCCAGGATAGACCTGACCTTCCAGAGTAACATCTGCACACCTTTCCTGACTGATCAGGAAGTCTTTGATCTCCCAGGCATAGCCACCATCCCGCAGCATGAAGATGGCGCGGTTGGAGCCAACAATAAACCTACAGGAAAAATCCACATTTTTTTCAGTTAACTCCATGCTTTTCAAACACTCCAGCATCTTAAACAGTCCTCCATGACTGAGGCACGTGTTTAAGAGCAAGAAGCTGGTCTAGTTGTTGCCTGGGGATGGGGACAAGAGAACAATCTTCTATGACATTTAGAATAAAATGTATGAAGTCTATCAATAAGTAACCAAGGAAGAATAAGGAAATAAATTTAGAACTAATTTGGCTCTATGAAAAATTCACTAATGAGCATTAAATTTGCTTTATACACTTATTGCAAACCTTCTCAGCCTCAATGCAAGAGCACTTCTGTTTCAAAATTATGCTCTCTCTCAGAGAGAAAAAAGAGTCAAATTTTTTAACAGGGGAACAAAAAGCCTTTTGGGGTGACAAGTCTCCAGAGTGTGATGTTTTCCATCAGGCACATAGAGGCAAACTACTGCAGCTAGAACTGATAAATAGCTGAACCATAGTGAGATAAAAAGAACTGGGGCTATACACACACGCACACAGTGCACTGAAGAGGTTTGTGTACCACACCACAAATTTTGTCACAACTGACAAAGAAAACAGAAACAGCAATGGATGATGGAGATGGAGAACAGCAAAGGATGAACAGCTGAAAAGGTTTTCAGGAAGAAAGAAAGGGTTCTGCAAAGGCAGGAACTTTATCCTTGTGCACAGCTCACCTTTGCACGTCGTAGTTTGCGTTGAAGAGGCTGCCCTGCCACAAGCTGGTGATTTCTTCTGTCTCCTTTTCTGTTGGATCTCCTGACACTGTGACAAACATCATCAAAGTCTTCCCCTTCTTTGTCAGCTTCAGGATGCTTTCAGGCTTGCCTGGATCTATTTTTGAGAAATCGATAGGTGCTGGAGGCCTCTTGTGTTCAGGGAGATCTCCCTCTTCAATGTCATCATCTTTCTGTTTTGAAAACGACAAGGAAGCTTTAAACTCAACTGTTCCACAAATATATTTTGGGTCTTTTTTTTTCTAATTCCTCTTTGTTTAGAGAATAACTGTACTTTGATAAAATATTTTTAGCTGAATGATGGAGATTGTGAAGCCAAAAGGAATAGTGACTGTTGTTTCAAGATACTTCACCAAGAGTGCTCTTTCCATTTATAACCCTCCCCTGAAAATGCTGCATTTTCATACTGACATGTGGAATCTCATTTTATCACACACTAAGAAATATTTCAGCCTTAAGGCTAATTCAATACAATTCCACCTATGAAACTTGTAAAATGGTATTTTTTTTTCTTCAGTTTCACAAATATTTATTATGCATGCAAGATGAAATGGGAAAGTTGCAATAAAAAGCCTCATACACACATATATGAAAAAAACTTCATCTGATACTGCTTTCAGAGGTCAAAACTCAGTTCTGGGAATCATGTGATTGCTTGAGAATTTAAGTTCCCTTACTTTGTGTCTTTAAACAATTAAACCCACAAGAATTCAGATCTTCTGTGTGCTTATGCCACAGAAAGACTTTGATTAAAGGTTTCAAGACTTTTCTAATGCACAGATGCAGCTCACAGCCTGACAACATAATCACCCAGAGAAATCACTACCACAGAAAAGAAAAAAATTCACCTCTTGGTGCTTCTGCTGAGGCTGACAGCTATTTAAATATTTGGAAAGGCACAATCAAACTGCTGCCCCCTAAAACAGCTCACAACTGTGAGCTGAATATGGTGACAACTTACAATAAGCCAGAACCTGGTTTCTGTAACAGCAAACTTTAAAGTTTATGCACTGCAGAACAGAAGCTGTAGGAGGCCTAAATTTTATCCTTTCTTTCCTTACTAATTATGTATTTGTTTCAATTTTGCAAGACTGAAACATGCCTCAAGTAGTTCACACGCCTTGAAATTTCTGAAATGAATGAACTGGGAGGAAAGGAGAACCCAAGAAAGTCCCTGCCACCACTAAGTGAGAACATTAATCTTACAGGAGGCCAGAGAATGGTCAAATTGGTAAAGTACTGTGAAAATACAAAATCTTGTGTGATTGACTGAAAAACATTCTCCACAATTAAAAGACGCTTAAGTCTGGTTTGACTAGAGCAAAGCCAGCTTATTCCACAGTTCTGAAAGAAAAAGGCAGAAAGAAACATTTCCAAATACTCTGTATGAAATACAGAAACTGACTTTGGATTTAGTGACAACATGAGCTACTAACATGTATTACCTATTTTTTTCCTAACTATTCAACTAAATGCTCCTGAAGTTGTAGTCTTTCACTTTGAATGGAAATATTATCAGAAGATGCCAAGAGCTCCCCTAGATGGCACCTATTTTCTTATTTCCTGTACAAAATGTCATGCAGCTGTGCTTAAAGCTATCTAAAAGGAAAAAAGTGAAGGAGAAGTGTAAGCTTTGAAAAGTCTAGCAGACTGTCCTGGTTTAGGGCAAACTTGGGAGGAAACGTCCAAAGGGATCCCTCTAGAAAGCAGATTCAAGTGGCCTCTCTCTCTCTACTGGTTTGGGAAAAGATTTTTTTGGAGAAAAGTGGGAAAAACCTTTATTTAAGAAGCAAGAGTACTCACAAGCATAAAAAAAATAATAATATTAAAGAATAAAACCTCTCGTTGTTCTAAGAGATGGCAAGTTCAGAAAGTCCTTTCTGTGGGGTGTGGCTCAGCTCAGTCTCCTCTCAGTCCCTCCTGCACTGGAATGCAGTGTCCCAGGCCTGGAGGGCCTCAGCTCCAGTGCTTCCCTGGGTTTTCAGTCCAGAGCAGGGCAAATCACTTTGAAGAAAAAGAAAAGCCACAGTCCAGGGAACTTCTCTGCCTCAGCTAGCTAAAAACTAACTGAGAGCAAAGGAGAGCTCTGTCCTGTCCATGCTGTCTGTGAGAAGGAAGGCTGAAGCTCTTATCTCTGTGTTTTTGAATACAGCCACCTCAGACATCCCACTGCTTCTCCTTCTCCCCCTCCCTTCACTCTCACCTAGCTTTAAGGGTGCAAAACTTATTTCTGGGCTAAACAGATGAATGGGGATTCAACTCAGCCTCATGAAGTCACCCCAGGACACAGACTCACTCACCTAAACAGTAACATGAGGTTCCAGAGGAAAAGCGTTATATAGACACAGGAAAAACTACATATTCCTTCACTTGCTCCTCTCCTCAGCTCCCATTTTCAGAAATTTCTCATAAATGCCCTGCATTTTGATTTTTAAAAATATTAAAACATTATCTCACTTAACTGCTTTGCCTATTCAGTGATCAGAGTCAAGCCTGAGAAACCCTGAGCTTGTAACAGTAATGAACTATTTAAAGCACTTGACATTTCAATAACTAAGAGTCCTCCAGCCCAGATTCTCAGTTCTGTGTCCAGGTCCCCAGGACTCCAGGCTTCAGGAGAGTCCCTTTCCATGAGGAAAATCCCTTGGTGGCTTCCTCCAAGCTCCAGCTGTGTGACTGAGCTGCTGAAGCACCTCTGCCTCTTGGCCCTGTTGCCCATCCCTGTTTTCCACCAGATCACCCTGGTGGATCAGCAGGCAGTCATGCACAGGGTGCAAGGGGCAGCACGAGACCCTGTGCAGAGGTGGCTGCTCCTGCTGGGAAAGCTGCTGCAGCCACACATTCAGCCTTGTGGCTGAACCCAAGCATGTCATAACCACCATCCTCCAATGGTTTTAGACTAATTGCCATGGAAATAAAAAAACTTTGGAGTAATTTCATTCAGTTGAAAGTACTGACATTTGATTCTGTACAGATCACTCCTGTGTCCCTCATTCCCAAGCGCAGTTCCTGCTCTTACCCGAATTCAGTGGCCCCTTTGTTTCTCATCCCACTCCATGAAGTGCACTCGTGCCCTTTCTTCTGCTCCACCACCCCCTCAAGCCTTTCATGTTCCCTGTGTGTCCTGACTCCCACCTATGGCAAAATGCCCTGCAGCTGATGATCCCAGGAGACCAAACAACCCCAGCTGTTGAGCTCAGTCCCTGCTCTGCTCCATGTGCCTCTCCCCAGGGATGCCCCCAGCCCCAGCAGTGACTCCCCAGCTGCTCTGCCACATCTGCATTTGTGCAGCACACCATGACCTGCATCAGGGACCTGCTCCAGCTGAAAGGGAAAAGCCCTCCATAGCCTCCTGACCTGCCCACTAGGGCTGGAGCAGAAAATACAGTCAAGAGTTCAACAGCATCAACAGCCCCCTTCCAACCATCTCATTAATAAGAGATGCTCACCTTTTAAGGGTTTTTTTTTTTCCTACAAGGCCAAATTTGGTTCAAGTTGGGCAATATGAAGCCTTGATTTTTTGGAAGCTGGGCCTGTTGGGTCCTTGGCTGATACCACTACCAGAAAAGTGAACTTTGAACCTTTTATTGATTTTATTTAAAATTTTAACTCAATTTTATAAGAACCTCCCTTCCTAAAGGGATATATGGAGTAACAATCCATGGGATGAACAAGTCCATAACCTGCCAACCAGGACCAAGGCAGGCATCCATACTTCCTGTTACTTTATCTATAATTCACATATAAAACACACTTCACCTTGGCTTACAGCTGCAACTAGTGCTACATAAAACAGACGTTTTCTCTCTATTATTTCTTTCAGGGTTTTTTGCAGAATATTCCAGGAAAAAACCTCATGGGAAAGAATAAATGACAGTGAGGAGTGCTCTGGCATTTATCAGAAGATGATGGAACATAACATAGGGAAAAGAACCTAACAGTGGTATGACAACCACATGGAGAAGAGAGTGATGGGAAACCGCCAAGGAAAGTTAAGGCAGCGGGCTGATAAGGATGCAGGCGACGAGAGAGAGCTGGAATTAGAAGTTGTTACTATGAGGAAAGATAGGAAAGAAACACCAAACCAAAACAACGTATCTACCCTGTGAACGTGAAATTAATATTCCTTCCGGTATCCACCCCTCGGTCATACAATGTGTATCGCTCGCTACTTGGAAAAAACCAATCAGACTTTTCAGCCAGACGAGGCTGCTGGCAGGCACCGAGCACCGGGCTGGGTGCTGGGGCTCTGGGAAGGCGGGACAGGGCCAACCGGGCAGGGCAGGCTGAGGGCCGCTCGCCCGACTTTGAAACCCCCACACACGGACCCGGAGCCTCGGAGGAAGGAACACAGCACCGGCCACCCTCCACCAGGCTCGGGGATCCCTCCCGCCCGGTCCCGACCAGGCCCGGGGATTCCCCGCTGCCCGGGACCGGGCAGAGCGGCCGCTGCCCCGCGGAGCTGCCCCGGCCCGGCCCCGCCGCCCCCCGGCACCGCGGCGTTCCCTCCGCGTGCTGCGGGCGGACACCGCCGGCCCCGGCGCCTCCCGCACCTCCCACTGCTCCAGCAGCCGGGCCATGTCCGCGTCGTTGTAGTCCCGAATGTCCTTCTTCTTGGGCGGCCGCTTCCCCTCGGAGCCGCCGGTCGCGGCCGCCGCGCTCAGACACAGCGCCAGGGCCAGCAGCGCCCAGCCCGCGGCCGCCGCCATCTTCTGCCGCTCCCGGGAAGGCGGCCCCGGCTCCCTCATGGGCGGGGGCAGCGCGGCCGGGCCGGGAGGAGGAGCTGGAACGGGAGCGGGGCGGATCGGGCCGGGAGGAGGAGCTGGAACGGGAGCGGGGCGGATCGGGCCGGGAGGAGGAGCTGGAAGACAGCGAGGAGGATCGGGCCGGGAGGAGGAGCTGGACAGGCAGCGGAGCGATCGGGCCGGGAGGCGGGGTGGAAGGGCAGCGGGGCGGGATGGATCGGGCCGGGAGGAGGAGCTGGACGGGTGGATCGGGCCGGGTCCCCGGAGCGACCGAGGCTGCCGGGCACTGCCGGGACTGACGGCACTGCCGGGGCTGCCGGGCACTGCCGGGACTGACGGCACTGCCGGGGCTGCCGGGCACTGCCGGCTCCCCCGACGCCTCCCCCGTGCCGCTGTCCCCGCACCGCTGTCCCCGCACCAAGCCCCGCTCCAGGCGGAGCAGCCCCGGTGCGGTCCTGCAGGGCCCGGGCAGGGAGTGAACGCTGGGCACTGAAAGGATAAAACGAGTAAATAAATGATGGGCCCAGCGCCTGACATCTAAACTATGTGGTTGCTTCTTGTTTTTTTAAAAAAACAGGATGAAAAGTATCTGGGTTTGCTGATCTGGGCCCATTGCATGAGCCTTCTGATTTTGACTACTGTCTCAGCAATATTAGGGTTCTAAAAGAAAACTATTAAAATTAATGCTGTTTGCTACTAAAATACAACTCCACAACATCTGACCACCACAACAACGTATAAGATACGGGTTTTTCTTTGTACAGAGTGTTTTTCCAACATCTAAACCAAATAACATTCATGGATGTCTGCACAGCCTTATTTCACTCCAATCTTAATTTTTTCCTCATGGTAGCATTTTAATTACAAATAGTACAATCTTCTCTTCTACCTTTCACCTTGGATTCCAGCAAGTTTAAACTTGGGAATTCAAGGAAGCATCACTGTTATTGCTGCTGGTAGATATTAATTGCAGTCAGGCTGATTAGTGAAGAGACTGCTTTTCTATTTCAGCATTGAAGGTAGACCAGGTTCAGAGCAGAGGAACCAATTCTGTTGAGAGAACTCTTCAACCCCAATTCTGTTACTGTATCATAGAATGCTGTAATCATAGAATGGTTTGGGTTGGAAGGGACTTTAAGGATCATTAGTTTCAACCCCAGATGGTCCAGTTCTGGTCATGTAATGAACCAGGAACCCACTGCCTTTATGGGCAAGGTGTGCACATGGAAAACAAAAGCAGTGAGGAGGCAGAGGCGTGGGTTTGAGGGGCTCTCCAAAGCCGGGCTGACTCTTGAAGTGAGCGGACTCCGCAGGGCCACGTGGCTGGAGAACACCGGGGAGACACGGCACCTGAAGGAGCAGCTTGCCAAGCACGTGAACCATGAGAAACAGCAGAGGAGGATGTGGGATCCAAGATTTCAGCACCCCCAGAACCAACCAGCCTGGGCTGCAGCCTCCATGTGTTTTATAACATTTCAGACACGCTGCCAGTGCCTGAGGAACAGGAAGCAGCCCAGAGCTATTCATGGAGCTTGTTAAATGTACATAACTGAAACAGGGTTTAGACAAGTACTTCTCACAGAGCTGTCCAATACCAGAGCCACTAATGAGCACATTTGCTCGGTGATCTCTCATTAAATATAATGAACATCAGGTATACTATATCAGATTGCTGTGATTAATGAGGTTTTACTAAAATAGGTTTCTGCTAACTTTTGTTATTACTGGACTGTGCATACATTCACTGGAAAAAAAAAAGAAGATTCTATCTTGGAATGCTGGACTTGCAGTGTAAAATATTTTCCTTGAATTTCTACTAGGAAATATTTTCTTCAATTCTGTTTTTTCTTGTTAGAACAAACCAAGCCAACTTACTTTAATATCTGAGACTATGTTCAGATATGGATCTCAAAAGTAACCTGTTTCCCTTTGGTAGGTGAACAAGTCGTTCAGTACGCCCAGCACTGCACCAACAAAACGATACATTTCATTGTCATGCCAATAAAAGCTTTAATTTGAAAAGGGGGTAGTTTTCATGCTTGGCTCTGACTTTGCAACTACCTCTGTTCAGGCAAAATTCTGTGTCTGGGAAGACTCGTTCAAGTCTGCTGCCTGTAGGGTCAGCTGCAGGACAAACACCTGCTCAGCCCCTGCTCGCTGCTCTTCCTCTCTGCCGTGCAAGAAACAAACACAATGCAGCACATACCACTGACAGCAGCAAATTAAATTGCATTCTCTTTTTATTGAAGCACAATATGTTTTGATCAGATCATCTACTGAATCATGCCAATATGCTTTTTATAGCTTAAGCGTTTTCACATTTCCTAACAGTTTTTATAGTCCTAGCAGCTAACACTATTAGGATTGCAATACAGAATATCAGAGAATACTTTCATTGCAGATTGTGAGGGTAAGGTAGTAAATACTTTACCTTGTAGCCAGAAGTCCCATCTAGTCATGCCAGGGAAGGTCTCAAACAGTAACTGTTGTTTTTGCTTCTGCAGAACTCAAGTTTAATTAGTATTATCTTTAATTATAAAGTTATATCTTACCAGAAAGGCAAATCTGCCTTCCCTTGTAAACTGTTTTTCTTATTGAGCAGGCCTGGGTCAAGCTGTAATATGAGAGGATTCAGGATGTTCTAAATTTCTGTTAATGAAGTTTTAAATTCTCTCTTTTTTCCCATTTTTGGAACTATATTTGTGCAAAATGTATTTTCCATACCATTCTTTCTTATGAGTTGGGAGAAAAATGTGAATTTTTACCTGCCAAAAGCTCTCTCAAGTCTTAGCTGGTGGTGGAGTTTTATATGCAATTTTCTATTTTAAAGTGGATTCCTATTTGTCACATTTTACTTTTCTTTGCAAATACAGTGCAGTAGAACCTTAAAGCTTGTTCCTTGACAATCCTAGGAATTAAACCTTAGAAAGAACAGAGAACTTGACTTCATTAAGGAAAAGGCAGTGCCTGCCTTTTGGAAGGACATACGGACAATTAAGACAGAACATCAGTCCTAGAGCATGCAGAAGGGAGAATGAACATGCAAGGGCTGCCTGCTATCAGCATTTGCTATGTCTGGAAGAATCAATTCATTTCAAGAACTCTTCTGGCACAGAAGGATGTTTAATAGAAGCTCACATGAATTAAGTGTGGTGCAAGGCAGCCTTGCAGTGGTAATTTTGGATGCAAGTTCTGAGATGTCCCAGCATTCAGCATATTCTTCCCTGTTTAAAAGCACTATCATACATCTTACAGAATGTCAGGCTATTATGAGTTATTTGCAGTAAAACAATCAAAATTATTGTTTTCATAGGTCAAATTATCTCAAGTACCTTAAATGTTCCCCTGCAGAGAGAATCTAATGCCCGAGCTGTCATGCACAGACAATGCATTTGTTAATCCAACCCTCTGAATTTACTCACAGGCAGAATAAAACTTGAAGAATCAGACCTGAACATGTTATCTTTAAAAACAAGAAAATGTCTAAGATAAAAAGCAGCACAGCAAGCAGAATATGCTGTCATCTAGAGCGTGAACATTTGAATAATTCAGAATAATTTCAGTCCTCAATTTAATTTCATGCATAAGACAAGCACACTTACTTGCCATGTATTAAAAGAACACAAATTTTTGTTCCACAGCTAGTCAGATCTTGAATTCCTGGATCCAATTTGAAAAACTTAAGTCTTTAATTCAAAATTTTCCCAGATTAACTATGGTGATTCTGACATGAAATTCTAATTCAAGTACTAACCTTGAAATTCAGATTCTGACTTGAGCTTTGAACACAAAATAAATCTTTACCCTGAATTTGTGTTATCCTGTGAACATGCATTTAATAAATTCAAATTCATTGATGGGATGGAGATGCCTGATAAATGACATCACAGCTTTGTGTCATTGCCTCCTGCTCAGGGCTGGGGAGGGGGTATGCTGCCTGTCTACTCAACTGCATTAAACCTACACAGTGGGATCCCTAAATTCAGAAACACCACAGAATGTTCCTCTTAGTACTTATCCTACTGCAAGATTTGCTACAAATCTGTGCTGGTTAAAACTATGTACTGGTTACACAATTTAAAGTTACCCTATTAAGAAAGGAATTACATTAAATCAATGTCAAAGAAGATTTATACAGCTCCCACAGGAATTCCATTTATAGTCTAATTTTCAGAATCTAAATGAAATTAATTTTGTAGTCCCAATTTCATTTTAGGTTTACAGGTCAGTTTTGGCACCTACACCTAATGTAAGTAATACATTACATGAACTTCAGATGAATTAGAGGTGCTAGGCTTAAACTGTTAATGATCAGCAGCCCTGCTTGGAGAACACAGAGAGAGGCACAATGAGAGCAGTGTAGGACCAGAGACTCCTGTGAAAACATCTATTAAACTTCTCTCACAATACATTAAAAGAGGGCAGGGAGGGGAGAAACCCAAACCCTTCTGTAGAGTGTTACAGCTGCAGGACAGAACATACAACCAAAAGTGCAATTCAGGAAGGGTGGGGCCCTTGCACATTTTGTTCAAAATACCATGTTCTCCTTTGATCTCAAAAAACCCCAGATGTAAGAGTCTAAGGGAGGGTCTTGGAGTCCTGTTTGTGCTGGACCACTGTAACCAGCAGCATTTGGCATTCTTGCATTGAGTGCTCCTGAGTCTCAAGGCTACAAAGCTGCCTCTGGCCCTTCTCACCTGCTCCAGGGAGGGAGAAGGGACACAAGGAGCTGCACGGCACCTCCTGGGCACCAGCCTCGAGACACACGAGGTGCAGGAGAGATCTCTGTGTGCAAATGGCAGGCAAGAACAAGAAGGAAAAAGCCATTATTGGCTGTATTCACGTGAAATATGGCACAGCTGTCCATTCAGTGCAAGAGGAGCTTTGTAGCTGCATTTTCCTTTTCATAAATACGTGTCTCTTTTCCAGGTTGATGTATTAAATATCCATGGTAACAGCAGGGGACAACCAATTGATTATATACAGCAAGTGGTGAAAACAGTGCAATAAATAATGAATAAAAGGACAACAAAAGAAAAACCTCTTTTGCTGTATTACCTTTCAGTTGAGAAACAGGAACTGACCAGCATCCCACTACTGGGATGTTTACATTAATGTTGTTTACATAATAAATTTGTTCTTACCTTTGATACTGTGGTTTTGACTATGCCATATTAAAAAAAGAATAAACACAAATAACCAGAACATCAGAACACCGGATGAATTAAACCTGTATGTGAAAGCCCACCCTATCCTAAAACCTATTTATTTATAGACAAAAGAAACAAAACCTGTGACTGTGTTTGCACTTTGCTGTCTCAAGTGCCTAGTTAACTGCTCCTCCAGATCTGTGTTTTTGGCTACAAGCAGACCAGTTCTCAGGTTGCATCCCTGAGAGTGCATCGACCATGGCCACCTCTGCAGACCCGAGACAGACCCAGACCTCACAGTTTAATCTCTCATGAAGTAATGGCTGTAAGCACTGACCACAAAACACTTACTCAGCACCAAAGCATTTAGGACAAAATAGATCTTAAGAACAATAAGCTGGTCATTCTTGGAAACTTGCCTTTCCTTCCATGTGACTTACACTGCTGCAGAGAGGAAGGCCCATCTTCATCCACCCTCTTCTGCAAACTCTGCCTTGGTATTGGAAGTATTTCTTCCATCAGTCCCTGCCAACTTTATCCTCCTATGATTTTCAGTTTACAGCCTGACAAACCAGCTGCATCCCTCAGAACTGGAGCTATCATTCCTGTAATTACCACCTCATGGGTTTTGTCACATACAGCTGACACAGGGGAACCACTGAATTGCCTTTTATTCCTTCATCAGCTAGCTCCCTATTAGGTTAGATCAATACATCTATACAGGAAAGTAATATAAAGAAGTACAACCCACCATATAGTAACTTCCTCTCACCCACCTGGCCACATACAGCGCTCATGAAATTATTACAACTTGGTATTCTTCAGCTATTACTCAACAGTGGCTACACTGGCAAAAATCAATTCCTCCTTCACAATAAAATATTTTACTAAGCAATAAAAGGGCCAAGTCCTTTCAGACGATTCAGGAAAGAAGACTTCAGCCTCCAGATTCTGTTGTACTAAGCACAATGCAAAATAAAGATCAATGTGACAAAAGAAGAGCTCATACAAGTAAGCCAATCTTCTGTACACTACTAAGCCACATTAAAAAGCCTTTTAATCCCTTGTATCTGACAATGCCTGCTGGTTTGAACCCCAGAGAGTTAATTCATTCAGACTCTGTCAGTGAAATCTTTTCAAGGCCAAACATGGCCACCTGATTGTCACATCGTCCAAGTTTTTGTACCAATTCAGTGAGCTGCCCAAGCCCTGTGGATCACTTTTGCACTGAAATAAATGGGTATGAACACACCCTCCTTGAAAGAGATGTGCAGAAGAGCTTTGAAGGAAATACCCACCCAAACATCACCGGGTACACGTCTCCTCCTCAATCACAGAGATGCATGTGCTGGCACTTTAAAGCAAGCACCTTGCTCAGGTTACCAGCCCAGGAGAATCCACCTCCAAGGCTGCCTTTTAGAATGAGACTGCATGTTCCTGGGAAACACAGACTAAAAGGGAATCCAGCTAGGCCAGGTGTACCTAGGCAGCAACCCTGCAGTCTGTAGGATGGATCTCCAGGAAAAGCCACTTGCATGGTAAAAATTACTAATGAAGGTGGTATTTTTGACATTATTTTTTCAAAAAGCAAAAGCCAAGTTACTCTTCCTCAAACATTTAATATGCAGAATAACTAAACACCCAGGGCTACTATGGGAGGACAATGGCATTTGGCAAGACTTCCTTGGACACTGTCCACATGCAACACCTACTACAGGACAAAAATTACCAGTTTTGCCCCTGGCTAATGCCAAGGCAGATAAGGACTGGATCAGTCTTGAGGATGAGTTATAAGAGCTAGAAAAAAAAATTGCTTTATATTGTAGCAGTTACTAAGAGCTCTGGTCAGGAACTGCCACGGTTAAGGCCCAACTGGGTTTCTGTGGAGGGAGGCTGGTGGAGGAGGCACTGCAGGACCTGTCCAAACCAAGGATCTCTCCCCTTTGTCCTTGGGGAATGGCACAAATCACACAGAGCATCATGGCAGGCAGCAGCATCTAAAAATGGAAAAGATTATTAGGTCATGTAACACCTCTTCTAGCCAGGGATGAGACCTACGTTTTCTAAAATGAAATCTTTCAAACCCTAATTAAATGTAGTCAATCCTCATTAAAGATAAACTAGGTTAATATTTATGAGAGACATTCCTTGCGCTGCATACTATCTAACCTCATTTAAGGATGTATCTGGAAATACTTTGAAATACAGTTCAGCTGGCTTCTTCTGCCCATTGATTTTTATTTTTCAGAGCACTCTGAAATCATTCCTATTTATACTTTTGAACACAAGTTGCTGGCAGTAAGCCAAAATTGTTTAGGCCCAAATCATGACCTTCCTTGAAACTGCTATAATCTGACTCAAGTAAACAGAATTTCCCTCACACTGTTTTTGTGAGGAGGGATGGGTGGAGAACTGCCCTATTTTTGACACACCCATAGACCAGAATCTACCCCTTTCCTCAAGCCTTGCTTTATGGCAAGGGCTTCCCCTGCCCCCCAATGCATTCACCCTGTTAACCCCCGACTTTCACATCTGTGTTCGTCCTGCTCACATCCTGCTCTACAAGGAGAAGGCCAAAGGTTCCTCTAGCTAGTGGCTAAGAATATGTGCAAATAAACTTGTCTGAAGCTCTTTAAAGGTATGGAATCCATTTGGTGGGCTCTGTTTGTGCCAGGATATTGTTGGAGCTGACCTGCAACTGCAAGTGAGGAATCTGGTTCAATTTCCATTTATTTCAAGGTCACTTATACCCCTGCAGCAGTAGGGATGTAGCAGGATTTAACTGTGAATTGGGACAAATGTACTTCTGGAGCTCTGTAACCTGCTAAAAGCATTGTAAATGCCTAGAATTAAGGGGCTGACTTAAAAAAGAGAATTCTGATTGAAAGGTGCAAAATAAAGTTATTATTTAGCTGTGGCTTAAGGTACAGCAAAATACGTAACAAATGTAGGATGTGGTTTCAACATGGGTTTTGATTAATCAGAATTTTATTGATGCAGATACTGTGCAACAGGACAGAACCTGATGTGTGCCTCAGGTTTACTGAGCCTAACATCTTGCTTTTGACAAGAATCATCTCAAAAAGTTCTCGGTGTGCTGCAGAATGGAAACAGATCAGAGGAAGTCTTTGTAGAGCTTTCAGTACACAGCAGTGTCAGTAGGTTTACATTTTCCCTGCTGAAGTCTAATAAACAGTAACCAGTGTTCAAAAACAGCGACAGAAACGGGGGAGCAACAGACCAAATTCGTCTTCATTGGTTTAAAATCTGGGTCAAGGCCTGTGCTGAGAGCAGTATTTCTGTGTAAAGGAAGCTGCGGCAGTTCCCCATCCCGCGTTTCCAGCACTCCGGACGGCCAGCCCGGCCCAGGTACCGGAGCCCCGCGGGATGAGCCAGGCGGCTCCGAGCCGCGCTGCCTCGGGCTCTGCCCCTCGGTGCCGCTTCTGCCACCCGGACCGGGCCGGCAGCTCCGAGCGGAACGCCGCACTCACCTGGCGGGCTGCCCGGGGCAGGGGCCGGCCGGGGAGCGGCACCCGGGCCGGGGCGGCTCCTCGCTCTCCGGTATCCGACTGCTCCGTGCGCCCCCGGGCCGCGCTGTCCGGCTGCCTCTCGCCTTCCTCCCAGCGGCCTCTCCCTCGGGCACCCCCGCTGTTTGTTTATTGGCGGAGCCCCTCCGGAGCCCCGCGCGGCGGGGACGGGGCAGCGGCGGCGGCGGGCGGGCGGTGCCGGCGCTGCTGCCCCCTCCGCCTGGGAGGAGCGAGCGGCGGCGGGCGCGGAGCGGCGGCGGGGGGAGGGCAGGATTTAAACGAAGGGCGGTGACACCGCACAAAAGATTTCGATAGGCTCAAGTGAGGTTACAGCAAAGGCAGCGGGGCGGGGGAGCTCCCCCGGAGCCGTGCAGCGTCTGGCTGGCAGCGCCGTCGCAGCCGCCGCTTCCCAGTAGTTTGTCTGAAAGCCTGAGAAAGGGAATTTAAACGAAGATTTCCTGCCCCTCTTTTTTTTTTTTTTCCTCTTTTTCTTTTTTTTTTTTTTTTTTTTTTTTTCCTCCCTGGGAGTTGGCCGCTCAGCCGGGGAAGATGGCAGGAGGAGCGCAAGGCCGGGCGGGTCGCAGCATCCGCGGCTGCAGCCCGCGGCCACCACCCTTGTTTGCGGGAAGAGCCTAAGTTGGTGCGGCGGCGGCCACCGCGGGAGCCGGCGAGGAGGGCCCGGGGCGCAGGGGATGGACGGCGGCGGCGGGGAGCGAGCGCGCAGCGGCCGCGTGAATGATCGCGGCAGGAAGGAGTGAGGCAGCGGCAAAGGAAGGGGAACGGATCCGCCCGCCCGGCCCAGCACCCGGATCCGGTGGAGCTTTTTTTTTTTTTACCCCCTCCTCTCTTTCTTCTTTTTTTTTTTTTTTTTTCCTTCCCCCCACGGTCCCCCGCGTCCCGGCTCCCCGCCGTGCCCCTCTCCCCTCCCGGGCCGGCTCCCCGCGGGTGCGCGGCGGGGCCGTGCGGGGCGGGCGGGCCACACCCTCCGCGGCGCTTCCTGCGAGCCGGGGCCGCGGCGGGCGCCGGGGGCGGCACATGGTGCGCAGCCGCCGCCCCTCCGGCCCCTGCGAGCTGCGCCCGGCGGGCGCTCCCCGAGCGGAGGCGCCGGGGGCGCGGTAGCAACTTGGAGGGCTGCGCCCCTGCCCCAACTCCGCGCGGCGGCGGAGCGTCCCTGAGGTACCGCGTCCGGTAAAGGGAACTTCGCGCAGGATCCCGCAGCCGGGGAGCCGGACGAGACGGTGGAAGGAAGGCGAGCCAGCGTGCGAGAAGGAAAGGAGAAAAAAAATTACGTATTTTTAGCTAAAGGATGCCAGACCGGGGCCCGGGGGCGCCCGGCGAGCGCCGCCCCGCCGCGGGAGCGCCGTAGGAGCGGAGGCTGGCGCCGGAGCGGGGCGGGCGCCCCGGCCGAGCTCGGTCCCCGAGCAGCGGCAGCCCCGGCGCCCAGAGCCTTTTCTTGCCTCCCGGCGATTAATGGAATGATGTTGCGGAAAAGGCAGAGCGATCCTGCCGGGCTCAGTCGGGACTGCTCGGGCGGCGGCGGAGGCGGCAGCAGCGGGGTAGCGAGCGGCATGCGAGTGCCCCCCCGGCGCTATGGCTAGCGGTGGCTCCGGCAAGTCCAGCAGCGAGGTCTCCGGCGGCGGCATCCCCAGCAGCAGCTCCCTGCAGAGGAAGAAGCTCATCTCTATCTGCGACCACTGCAAGATCAAGATGCAACTGGTGGCCGATCTGCTTCTGCTGTCGAGCGAGACCAGGCCGGTGAACACCGAGAGTCTGTCTGTCTTCGGTGAGTCCTTTGAGAAGTGCAGGGACACGATCATTGCCAGGACCAAAGGACTCTCCATCTTGACCCATGACGTCCAGAGCCAGCTCAACATGGGACGCTTCGGGGAGGTGGGAGAAAGCCTGATGGAGATGGGGGAGCTGGTGGTCTCCCTGACCGAGTGCTCTGCCCATGCTGCCTACCTGGCTGCAGTGGAGACTCCGGGGGCCCAGCCTGCCATGCCTGGCTTGGTGGATCGCTACAAGGTGACCCGATGTAGGCATGAGGTGGAGCACGGCTGCGGGGTCTTGAAGACCACCCCTTTGGCAGATATGAGCCCTCAGCTCCTGCTGGAGGTTTCTCAGAACATGTCCAAGAACTTGAAATTCCTGACAGACGCCTGCGTGCTGGCCAGTGAGAAATCCAAGGATAAATTTGCTAAGGAGCAGTTCAAACTCAGCGTCAAATGTATGAGCACCAGCGCCTCTGCCCTCTTGGCCTGTGTCAAGGAGGTCAAGACCTCGCCCAGCGAGCTGACCAGGAACCGGTGCGTCTTGTTCAGTGGACCTTTGGTGCAGTCTGTCTATGCTCTGGTGGGCTTTGCCACTGAGCCCCAGTTTTTGGGTAAAGCTGCCACCATTAATCCAGAGGGCAAAGCTGTGCAAACTGCCATCCTAGGAGGAGCCATGAGTGTGGTATCTGCTTGTGTGCTCCTGACCCAATGCCTCAGGGATATAGCCCAACACCCCGAAAGTAGCACCAAAATGAGCGATTACAGGGAACGGTTGAGGAACTCAGCTTGCGCCGTCTCGGATGGCTGCAACCTGCTATCTCAGGCACTAAGAGAAAGATCTTCACCCAGGACTTTACCGCCAGTGAACTCCAATTCTGTGAATTAACCCCCACATCTTCTGTTTAGATCCCAGTCATTGCTAAAGGAAAATAATATCCCACCTCCTCACCCCTTTTTTGTATACCAAAGAATTTGCTTGGATGAGCCCAATCCTTTGATTTCATGTGGTGAAGAAGCAGAACGTATTCAAACTATATGTACCAATAAAGGTAGCCAGTTTTGGCTTCTTTTTATTTTACTTTAAAGTTAAGCAAGTATCTGCAGATAAAATTTTCCTTTATTGAACAAGGTCTTCACACAAGTGGTAAAACTGTTTCAAAGTTTTTTATATCTGGGGAGGTGGGGGTATCTTAGAAAAAGGAGAAAAAAAAGAGCTTTAATCGCGCTGGGTGCGGTTTTTAAAGTTTGTCTTGTCTTGTCTTCCGAAATTTCCCTTCTAAATTTTGCTGTTCGGTTGTGCAGGAAAAAGGTTACCTCAGTTCTAACTCATTTAAAAAAATGAAAAAACCCAACAACACATAGATGATGGATGTAGCTACTATTTTGTTTGTTTTTGTTTTGTATGACTTTTTTTTATTTTGCATCAAGTGTTAGGTTAGAAGTGCATTTGGTGTGTAGGAGTGGAAGGACTGGAGGTTGTGATTATGTTTTCCATGTGTTGATTTCCAAACTGGGGGAAAAGCTACTGTGAGTGTTTAAACAAACAAACAAAATTACACTATAACAAAAGTGATTTTTAATTTTTTTCCAATGTCAGTTTTTATCTTGCATGTACTGGAGTATTTATTTCATCTATTAAAATGTTATGTTTCTCAGATGCTTTTCTGTGAATCTTTTAATACTTGAATAATTGAACAACTAGGCCTGTTTGTATTGTATGTCATTTCCCCCAGGGAATGGGTGGTACAAACGTAACTGTAAGTTCTAGACAGCAGCATACAGGCTTCAGTTCAGTTCTTTTATTTTCATAAATACTGTCCCTCTCCCAGTACTAGCACACAGAGCTGCTCCAGTTGTGTCTGTGGGCAGCTGGGCAGTGCTGCATACACTGGGATTGCTGTGCACTGGGACTGCTCTGCAGAGCACTGGTGCTTGCTGCAGCAGGGCACAGCCTGGCTTTGTTTGTCTTCAGCAGCATTCAGTGTTACCTTTGGAGAAGGTTTTGTATTTTAATTCTTGCAGGTGTTGTGGGCCATCTGTGTGGTAAATCCATGAGTTTCAGTATGATTTCTTAAAAAACTTAGCTGGTTAGCCTGGTGTGTGCCATATGTCTTCTTGGGATTGTGAAGGTTTGCTGGAGTGCGTACTTGAATTCCTCAGAGGTTTGTGTTGGAGCTCCTCAGTAGAGATTTCTGTCACAGCAGTTTGAGTTTGATGTTGCAGATTACAGGAGACCATGGCTACCTTTTGAGGTGCAGCTGACCTCCAGTTGAATTCCTTGGGAGGTGTGAGTGGAGCTTCGTGCATACTGCAGTAGTTCCCAGAGCTGCAGTGATGAATGTTGTCAGCCTGGTCTTTGTGGCCCTGTGAGATCTGTTGCCTTCTATATGTTCTGTTAAACAGAAGAGCAAATCTTCGGGAAAGGAGGTTTTGTTTCTCTGTCCTGCTTCATTGCATAATTGGGTTTTTTAATAGGTCTGCAGATCGAACCATGTTGAAAGCTATTGGCACCTTAAAATGTTACTGTGGCTTAAACCTCAACAAATACTGTCCTGTTTATTCCTTTGAAGAAGGAAACCTTTGGGCTTTGGGTATGGAATGGACCTGGAGTAGTGAAAGGTCTTTGTTTTATAGCATTGTTGTTTCTCTTGCATATGATGCTTTTACTTAAGTGGAGTGAGCCATTACTGGGTAGTGGACAGACACAGCTGTTGGAGTACATAAAAACTATATCTGTATCTTCAAGGTTAGAGAGAGGTAATTCCTTAAGTACAGTGGACCTCTGTGTTAGGTTTTGTTTATATTTAAATGGAACTTTTCTGACTTCACTGAATTGTATGAACAATTCTTTGCCATAATCAGCCCAAGCTGCACTCCTGCAGGGTGTGATGTTCTTGCCATGCAGTGAGTGCTGCAGAAGTACGGCTGCCCACAGCTGTGTGGTGAAGTATACAAGTCCTCCCACTTCCATACTTCACCACATAGAACACAGAGGTTCTAATTATTTATTATTCTTATTATTATTCTAATTATTTCTTTTAATAAACAAACCTATACACACAGTGTTCTAACTTTGACTGGGATGCCTGCACAGGTATTTGCTAAGGGGCTCTCAGATGTGCACACACAAACCTTTTCCCATCATAGGGCAGGAGCAGCTGTAGGAGTCGGGATGGACTTGCAGGAGGCCAAGGCCATCTCCAGGGAGGTCCTGTGTGTCTGTGCTGGGTGCACTCTCAGCCCAGGGAGGTCCTGTGTGTCTGTGCTGGGTGCACTCTCAGCCCAGGGAGGTCCTGTGGGGCTCTGTGCTGGGTGCAGTCTCTGCCCAGGGAGGTCCTGTGTGTCTGTGCTGGGTGCACTCTCTGCTCAGGGAGGGTCCTGTGTGTCTGTGCTGGGTGCAGTCTCTGCCCAGGGAGGGTCCTGTGTGTCTGTGCTGGGTGCAGTCTCTGCCCAGGGAGGTCCTGTGTGTCTGTGCTGGGTGCACTCTCTGCTCAGGGAGGTCCTGTGTGTCTGTGCTGGGTGCAGTCTCTGCTCAGGGAGGTCCTGTGTGTCTGTGCTGGGTGCAGTCTCTGCCCAGGGAGGTCCTGTGTGTCTGTGCTGGGTGCAGTCTCTGCTCAGGGAGGTCCTGTGTGTCTGTGCTGGGTGCAGTCTCTGCTCAGGGAGGGTCCTGTGTGTGTGTGTTGGGTGCACTCTCTGCTCAGGGAGGTCCTGTGGGGCTCTGTGCTGGGTGCACTCTCTGCCCAGGGAGGTCCTGTGTGTGTGTGTTTGGTGCACTCTCTGCTCAGGGAGGTCCTGTGTGTCTGTGCTGGGTGCAGTCTCTGCCCAGGGAGGTCCTGTGTGTCTGTGCTGGGTGCATTCTCTGCTCAGGGAGGTCCTGTGTGTCTGTGCTGGGTGCAGTCTCTGCTCAGGGAGGCCCTGTGTGTCTGTGCTGGGTGCACTCTCTGCTCAGGGAGGTCCTGTGTGTCTGTGCTGGGTGCAGTCTCTGCTCAGCTCTCCTTTGCATCTCCTCCCTCGCGTGTCTCCTCCGTGGGAGCAGAGGCACCTCCCCAGTGCCTGTTTCTCCTTTTCTTTCCGCCGGGGCTCTGGGGAAGGAGGAAAAGGGGCAGTGTTCACTCAGGATGTGCTATCTGCTGCCGCAGACAGGAGGTGAGCAGCCCGCCCCACCCTTCCTGTGCAGGATGCCGGTGGGGCAGGATCCGTGCGGGACGTGCAGGGATGGGGCCGGGAGCTGCAGGCACAGCCACAGCAGCATCCTTCAGCTCCAGGTACGGTCACCTCCATGGTGAGGCCTCCTCCTGCCAGATACAAACCAGGGAATTCTGAAGGGCAGCTCTGCAGCACGTCTGACAAAAAACCAGGAATGTCCCACTGGCTCTTTTGATGTTTCTACTTATTAGTTTTTGGTGCTGCTGAACTAATTAGATCCTTTTTGATTCATTTATACATTATTGAAATTATATGGATCACAGTACAGCCTCCTTATTACCTCTGCATATGAAAGGCACTGTATTATTAACGATGATAACGCTGATTTTTGTTGTGGTAAGATCTTGTTTGAAGTGGTTTAGTGCAATTTTTGTTTTAACAAGGTTACTGTAGATTCTTCCTCCCCTTTCTTATTATATTTTTAAGTGAGGTACATGCATACATATATAAATAAGTACGTATCTTCTTTTTTCTTTTTATAATACTGAAATAAACCAGACTGCCCTAGGTGTCCCTTTGCTTTTGAGCTGTCTGAGTTCAGGAAAGATTCAGTTTTATAAATAAAGTGGGAAACATAGCCAGGCCATGATTTTTTAACAGGCTGATAAAAATACATATACACAAATAGTAAATTCACCAAAGTAACTTCCTGTAACGTTTTAAAACAATAGTAATTTTAACAGTTCAAAATGTTCAATCATTTCTTTTGAGAGTACAGCTTGCACAAAGGGAGGCACCCACTGCACCATGTCCTCAGCTCAACACTCTGTCAAAATCTGCTACTCATGTAATTAGCACAGCAAAGTTGAAAAAAACCAAGAGTTTTGGTGCCAACAAGCACAACTTACACATTGTGGCATTTTTCTGAGCTGAAAAAAGTGGGGTCCCACTACTAAGTGTGAATATATGTATCTTTTAAATGCTGTAGTGCCACATTTATAGACTTAATGTATATTGTGATAATTTATTTGGAATCTGTTCCTATAGAATGTTAATTCTGACACAGGACATTAGTTCAGTAGGTAGATTCATGCTTACTTTGCACTCTCTGGGCCAGAAGAAATACAAAATGGATGAGTTTTCAGGGTGCACTTGCAGGGCCCATTGAGGTCAGTGATTATCACTTGGCACCATACTTAGGCCCCTGCTCCCAAATCTTCCTCACCAATTAAATTAGCAGGTACTGTGACTATTGCATCATGGGCTTACACAAGCATGAGATGTTTTCTGATGTGGAGCCTTGAAGGAAAAAAAAAGTTTTAGGGTGCTTATATCACATATGTCATAGTTAAATGCATTCTTAATAGTGCATTTAATAAAATGGTTAACTTATTTCTAAAAGCATTATGCAATGCACATTTGTAGCCAAAAACAACGCTATCCCCACCACAAGAGAAGTAAGCTTGTTTTTTAAATGTAATAATTTTTTAACAGAGAAGAAGCTGCCACCTTTGTATTGTCTGTAAATTTGATGCTATCTTGTGGTTGCTTTTTCAGCATGGGGAAGGTCATTATTGATGTAATAATACAGCAGCTGAGTTCGAGTTTGAGATCAGAGCAATGTGTTTTCTGATTCTTAAAAAAGTAAGTTCTGTAAGGCAACCAGTAAGCCAGCAGCAGAATGCTATTGGAAAGCAAGTACACTATTTAAGGGAACTTGCAAATGTAAACCCATGTTATTTTTCAAAACTAAGAAAGAAAAAAAAAAGACCCTGGGTCAGATAATTCCCTTCACTTTTTACCACAGGAAATGATCAAAGTAGCAGAAAATCTGCTCTTTTTGGCCAAACTTCTGTCAGAGACAGAAGGGGTCCAGCCAACACATGGTGTATGCAGCCTTGCAGTAACAGGGGATGTGGCTGATGGGAAAGGAGGTGGGACCAGAGAAAATCTGTAGGGCAATACCTCTTATTAAACCCACAGGAATTTTCCTATTCTAGATAAACCAGCGGCTGATCCAATAAAACAAATCTCAGACAGCACAGCCTTGCTCTCGGGGCTGTCAGGAGGCTGAGAGGGAGGACGTGGGGCTGGCAGTGTTTGGGATGCTCTGTGCTCAGCAGCTGTGCTGCTGTAGGGAACCAGAGGTCTCTGGGGTGGCCCTGAGATGTGGAAAAGCCCAGGCACAACGTGTACCTGCCAGAACAGTTTGGTGGGAAACGAAGGGGTTGGGTTTTATCTTTCTTTGCTTTCTTCCCTATCGGGCTCTCTCCAGACTTCACAAGCAGAAGCAGATGGTAGGGGCCAGTACATTTTACTTCTTTGTTCTTGCTGCCTGTGAAAGGTGCCAGATGGGCAATGATAAAGATAGAAATTCTCTTCCTGTAGCCCAGGGATAGCGGAAAACGCAGAGCTTCAAGGCTGCCCTATCCACACAGGATCACCATAACATGTTTTTTTGGGCCCACTGTTTCACTCTTTGATTTTTTGCCAAGAAACTGACAGAAAA